ATACGTCCACCCTTGCGGGCCAATAGCCTCTCGCTTGGATCATGCTTGACAATGCAAATGACTCATTAAAGAGGCAGTCACCATATAAAACCAACAAAAAACACTTAAGTGTATACGCTATATAAAATAATAACGATGAGACGCATATACGCATCATCACATAAGCAAAAAAAAAAAAAAAAAAAATGAGTAATTTAGCTCATTTGCTCAAATTCTCGGAAAAGACATTTTCTTGTTCCTCGCATCAATACAAATTTTGAAAACGTTTATTAGATATTTTTATCCCCCACATCTGCTGCGTATATTGCATATGCTAAGTTTTGCACTCCACTTGCCACTGCCAATGTCAGTTTCTCGATCGGGATCCTTTTCACACTAACTAATCTTTTTAATGCGATTTCAAAAGCATTTGTTGTTATCTAACAAGTTTTCAATCAACATTTCCGTTACGAAAGTGTTTTGTGGGCGGATTACGTTCACGTTTTAGGTGAACGTGAACTTTCAAAATGTTGTATCAGGAGGAGTTGTACGGAATAAGTTGTAATTATTTCATGTTTTATGACGGTGGCTGCGTTACGCTCACTTATTCGGGAACTATATGTTAGTCATTAAGTAGAATTGTAACGGTCCAGTTTTGGTTTACCGCAGTATGCTAACGAAAAAGCATAGAATAAAAATTGACCGAATTTAGCCGAGACAGAATTTTCCACCGATCAAGAGTTTGTTTATAGTTTCACGATATACGTTATACCGACTCGCATAGACTGAAGGACCTATTTAATGAATGAATGTGTAGAAATAGAAATGCTGTACATTCACACATCACTTAGCAAATGGTTATTGTAAATATATATTTTCGTAAATAACGGTAATTCATAATGAAAATCAATTCGTCGTATATGTGTTCGCTTTACGGGTTATGGGCACCAAAAATTCGTCTGAAAGCAATTTGTCAATTTTTGTTATGATATATTCAATATACATACAAACATGATACCCTATATATATATGTATATGTATATATAGCTGATTGTACGTACACGTTTATCATAGATAGATCAACAGCAACCGATTACGCATTTCAAATGCGATAAACACAAGCGTAACTAAACTAAACGTTTAATTTGAATATTGTCAAGTGCTTCTTCTTTTTTTTTTTGGTTTTATAGTAATTTTTTTTTTTGTTCTTTTCTCCGTTTGAAATGATTTCAGTTGGGGTTTATTTTAAGATGATGATGCCGAGAGAGCGAATGCTTTTATACGGTCACGTATTATACGATAAACATACAAATATATGTATATATATATATATATATATATGTATATATATATGCACTCATATTCACTATTAATTCAACTTACAATGTTGCATTTTAACAACGCGCTTAATAAAACTGCATTTTTTTTATTGCATTTTGTGCAAATATTAAAAACAAAAAATAGAAAAAATGTGAAAAAAGGAAAGGAAAGCATTTTACACCTTAGGCGAATGTACTGTACGTACTGTTAATAAGTTTAGATATACTATTATATACTTTAAGCCTTTCTAGGTTAGTAGCAGACAGATGTGAAACGCTTTCGTACCGAGCGTGCATGAAGCATTTTTTTTTTTTTAAGAATCCGTTTAAATAAGATTTTTTTTTTATATCCAATAAACGATGCAAATCCATTGGTTTTTTATACATTATACCGCCTGTTGCGGATGATACATGCAAAGAATCGATAAGAGTAGAGCAAATGTAAAAATGTAAGCCTGTTCTGTTCCATCTATGTCCATCTTCCCGATGTCTCATGTTTTTGTGTTGCTAATTTTGGTGAAATTTTTTGATGAAATCAATTACATCGAAACAATTTGACGACCACTACCTAGATACTATTCTAATTTGAGGAAATTCTTATACGAATAACGATTTGCTTACTTTAATATTTTTGAATCGATGAAAAATTATTATTTTGGTATATGAAATGAATATAATTAAAAAAAATTCCTTCCAAATATAACGGTTTTTTTACACAAAAAAAAAGTCTTAGGTATTTGCAGAAATGTTGATCACTTTTGCGCTTGAAAAAAAGATTTATTGTGGCAAAGTGGTACAAGTAATCAGTGGCATAGTAATCAAAATAGTTGCCATCATTTTCTACAACATTTTACAATATTTTTGCCAACACAGTGATATCATGTCGAAAGAGCATATATTAGTTTCGCGGCGATCCATCCAACGATCTATTTTCACATTTCTTTAATTTTACGGAACCGCGTGCCAGCCATGCCATGCCGTAGCGATTTGAAAAAGTGGTAATCTGGAGGCGCCAGGCCTGATAAGCACGCTGGGTATAGCCGAACGTCTCATTCGAATTGCAACAATGTATTCTGGACAACTTTTACAGCAAGTGGTTAAAAAAATGGAATTTTCAGTTAATTCGTGTCGCTACTTTTAAACCATTGCAACTAACACCGACAATTGGGGATATGATGGAGCAGTATCACCATAAGCCATTGAAAGTGTTTGATGAGCTTTGGCAGCACATATCTTCAAATAAAAAACAAAATTCATGAATTTAGAAGAAGAAGAATTTTGAACGCACCCTAATCGGCATCATCGGCTGGGATATGCTAAATCAATATCAGTAATATTAGATGGGAAACTGTTATGTTATGTAGAGGAAGGTTAAAATCATCGAATTCCCCTTTTTCCCTTACTTCCCTTTTTGTTATCATTTTTACTTGTAAAAGTCGCTGATCAAAATATTTGCAAACACCTAATATAAGACAATGGGTTTTAACTTTTTGATATCTTGTAAGAATGATGGCGATGTGACCACAATTTTCATATTCCCATCCGTCTAAGAGTTTCCATGAAAGTTAGCACATTTTGTAGCAACAAAGCATAATTTTTTTGCATTTTATGCCGAAAAGAGGTAAAGAAGTTCACTAAGTAAGTGTGTAGCGACTGTAGCGAAATTTACTGGTAGATCTTGCTCATCTATCATATGTTTATTCGATTTATTCTGCTATTATTTATTAATTGCGCACTCAACACGTTTAACAAACGAAAAGCTTAATAAATTAATAGAATAGACATGAAACAGTTCTGTATAACTAACTTATCAAGGATTCGTAAATGAAGTCAAGTTTTGTGCGCTTTATGGGTGAAGTCAAACGATGCCAATTAGTAAACAAAAAACAGATGTTTGTTTATTTTAAATAAAGAGTGGAAGAAAAAACGAAGTTTATGAAAGCATTTAGATGAAGAAAAAAAAAAAACAACAACAACAACAACAACAAGTATTTTTATTTTAAACTTTTTTAGTAATTTTAAGTATTTTTGTTAAGAAAAATCAAGAATTTCCTTAGAACACTTTGATAGAATCGTATGCGTTGCGGCAAAGAAGCCAAGCTCGAAATTCTCTTTCTTTAGTTTGAGCACTTTGTCCGTTCTAACAGTTCTAAGCTTTGATAAATCTTGATGCTAATGCTAATTGTCTCGTGATATATTCCTTTACTTAATACGCCAAGATTAAATCCAATATTCTAGACAAACTGCTGTTCAAGTTAGTCGACGGGAAAAGTCATTCGGGTCATATGAGTGCACATGAGATCATCGCTTCTCGAACATTCTTTACAGAGTTGCGTAGAATATTTCCACTTGTTACGAACATTGGATAAATTCAAAAATTTGATCAACTTTTCATAAATTTATTTTTAATGGGAGATAAATCCAGTTTTAAAAGTGACTTAATCATCCATTTACACCAGACATAAAAGCGATGATGATAAAATTTGCAACAAACAATTGTCAGGATCATTGAAAACTTTTGTGTGATAATTGACGTGATAGGAACGTATTGTTACGGTTAGCGTAAATGAATTGACTCCAGTCAATCAGAAAATATGACCGCAACAATCTACAAGTCCAACTTTCTTATTCGGAGTGATATTGCGTTCACCTTTTTAGGCTCTTGTCTGTCCTTTGTTTTCTGCTTTTTTTTTCTTTCTTTCTTTCTTTCTTTCTTTCTTTCTTCCTCTCCTTGTTTATGTTGGCATTTTCCATTTTGGCAGATATCTTCGCTTATGCTTATGCGTCGAGTCATGGGTTAACTTTTGCATGAGTAAAAAACGAATACATAAAAAAGAGGAAGAAGAAGAAGAAAAGAAAACGAGTATAATCTAAAACAAGAAATATGAGAATACATGAGAGTACATTTTTGCGGAGTAAATCTGATAATCTATTAAATAAATTTGTGATCGGCATCTGCATAAGAATCGAATTTGGCCATTTTCCCCTTTTTTGTTTAGTCTATAATAAAAAAGTGTTTTTTTTTTGCTTAGCAGAATATTTCAAATTTGCGAATCTGTTTCTCGCAATCCTCTACTAGTCGATTAGTCGACTATTCGACTAGTTTGCATATTATGTCGCTTCATGTATATTGGGTTAGAGAGGTAGCTGCTGCAGTAGGCTATGGGCCCATAAGTCATTGCGATAGTTGTGCTTACGCTAGCAAAGCGAAATAATTTTTTTCATTTTTATAGAGATGCAAGTATAGACTTTATATTGAAATCCCATCGGTATCGCAGAATAACCTGCTGGCAGGGAGAACAAAAGTTAAGCTTTTACTTTTGCATATATATTTTTAAAAACTTTTAATGACCTTGAAATCGCATTATCTATAATTTTTTTTTATATACACCACTGCATACTGCAGTCTGCTTTATATATTTCCCTTGTAATTGTTATTACAATCTAACTTACGTACGTACCTACCTACCTACCTACCTACCTACAACAAAATGTACAAAATTTAACTGATTAATAAATTATATTACATAGATAATTGATCTCGTTTGCTGGGTGAAAAGAAGTTTATTCACAATAATAAAATGCGACCTTGAGTTTATTGGCGCCATTTCTCTCCTTTACATTAGCGATATCGCTGTTGTTGTTGTTGTTGTTGTTGTTGTTATTGTTGTTGTTATTGTTATTGTCAAATTAACGGCATTTACATTTTTTCCGAACAGTTAAGTTAATGCTGAATAAATGCAGTCTTTGTTCTAGAACGTTGAAGAAGGGAAACCAAGTGCTTGTGCGAACAAAATTTTAAAATTGAAGTCATATAATAAAAAAATTAAAATACGATACGAAGAAGCAACATTTCTGGATTATTTTTACAATCAAAAAGGAAAAAAAAAGATATTCTTTCGATAGCGAAATGAGTCTTAATCGACTAAATTCTTATAAAACTAACACCATCGATACGAATGAGTCGCGGTTGAGACGACATGAGGTTACCGTGGAGTTGCGCAAATCTAAAAAGGAAGATCATTTGCTTAAACGACGCAACATAAATGAAGAAGATGTAACATCACCGATCAAAGTGTTGTCTAAAGTTGCATCGCCCCCGGACCCGTCCGTCGAGCACATATTTGATAGCATGCGTAGCGTGGATCCTGCGAGACAATATGCTGGCTTGCTAGCGGCCCGCAAATTATTGTCAGACGAAAGACATCCACCTATTGATTTAATGATTGATAACGGGATTGTTCCGATTTGTGTTCAGTTTTTGCAAAACGTTAGATACCCTCATATACAATTTGAGGCTGCTTGGGCATTAACTAATATAGCTTCCGGTACTAGTGAGCAGACAGGTTGTGTTATAGCATCTAATGCTGTTCCTCACTTTGTAAAGTTATTGCAATCTGAATACATTTATGTAGCTGAGCAAGCCGTTTGGGCTTTAGGTAATATAGCCGGTGATGGCCCTACTGCTCGTGACTTTATCATCGAGCACAATGCAATTGATGGCATTTTACGATTGCTGGATAGGAACTCTACTTTAGCTTCTTTATCATTGGAACGTAACCTTGTCTGGCTAATGTCTAACTTGTGCCGTAATAAAAGTCCATTGCCTCCATTCAAGGAAATTAAGCGTTTACTGCCCGCATTATCAAAACTATTATGGGGCTTCGATGCACAAGTAATAACCGATACTTGTTGGGCATTGTCTTATCTGAGCGATGATAATGAAAGCAAAATACAAGCAGTAATTGACGCGGATACTGTGCCCCGTTTGGTAAGCTTGCTAGATACCGATCATCCTAATGTTATTGTACCTGCTTTACGCACTATCGGTAACATTGTCACCGGCACCGATCAGCAAACCGACATCATTATCGCAGCGGGGGGCTTACAAAGACTGAAAAAACTACTTAAATATTCAAATCATAATATCGTTAAGGAGAGTGCTTGGACTGTAAGTAATATAATGGCGGGAAGCGCAAAACAAATACAAGATGTTATTGACGCTGATATATTTGTGGAATTGTGTGATGTACTGCAAAATGGTGACTTCAAGTCGCAGAAAGAAGCGGCTTACGCTGTATCGAATATGACTACAAGCGGTACATATGAACAACTTGTGCATATAATCGAAAAATATCAGATATTGAAACCGTTCTGCGATTTATTGGAAGCAAAGGATCCGCGCACCATTATTGTCGTCCTAACCGGTTTGATGCAGATATTCGCCATGACTGACGTACAGAATGCTGTAGGCGATACCGAACGTTTATGCGTAATGATAGAAGAAACAGGCGGATTAGATAAATTAGAAAATTTGCAACGACATGAGAACGAGGAGATTTACAAGAAAGCATATTTCCTCCTTGATACATACTTTAGCGAAAATGAAAAAGCCGAAGTTAAATTGATTCCGCGACAAACTCATGGAGGATTAGAATTTACAATGGAAAAACTCGACATTCCGAAGGACGGTTTTACTTTTTAATCAAAATATAAATTCTTTTCCTTTCTGGCTTTTTTCTTTTTTTTTTTTTTTTTTTTCGAACAACTATTCAATATACATACAAAGACTGATTTTCATCATTTGCATAAAGGAGATTAAGACGAGAAATCAGCAGTCATCGTTTATAGAATTTTATCTTAGCAATATTGTTATTTAGCAAGAAAAAATGTTTTCATAATTGTTGTTAATTTGGAATTATTGTTTCATGTATTTTTTTTTTTTTTTTTTTATATATATAATTGTAATTGTTTTTTAAAATTTTCATATCATTTTGCACAATTCGCAATCCGCTAACCAATTAATAATATATTCTCTAGAGAATTTGAAACATGATGAAAGAAATAATTTATGAAAATATATTGAAAATTTTTTTTTAATAACAGGATTGATTGTCTGAATTGATTTCTTATTATTAGTTTAGTCGGACATACATAGTCAATTCTCATTTCAGCGTTCATTACCATTGTTCTGTGACTTCCCGAAAAACGTGTCCTACATTTTCCGATTCGTTTTATTTTCATCATCATTATAATTCTTCTTCTTCTTTTTAATTGTATTAGAGATTTGAAGAGAATTAAAAGAATCGATTTTAAATATATATGAAATGCCATAGATTTAACTATTGTCATGTGTTCACTTATTCTACTTCTAATAGAAATTCGGTTTTCCTTATTGTACTCTACAGTACTTGTGATATACGGAAGAGGACGGTAGATGAACCGAGTTTTTGCAAAAACGTTCGATTCAGAAAACGATTTTCTCTGCCTCTGCGTCTATCTGTCTGTGTCATTCCGCTCAATCTGTTTACAAGACCGAGGAGAACAGAATCATATTCTGAATTGATCCAAGCTTGTCTGTTCATCTGTCCGTCCGTCTGTCCGTGATCTTCTGTTCAACTTATAGGTCGCCATTTTGTGAGTTATTTTTTTTATGAAATTTAATGCACCGACATGCAAGGTTCATGGTATGCGGAATGCCCACTTTTTCGATTACTTACAACATACAACGCTTTATGCTGACAAGTCTTTATGAATAACTATATTAAAGAAAATGGTGCATAGTGTTTAACAATGGGTATTATGTGATACAAATCGAACATTGAAGGCAAGCAGCGAACAGATATTCAATAGATAAGAGGAACAAGAAAGAATGTAGGAGCTAGCGGACGAAAAATTGAAGAAGTTGGCGGTATGTTAAACTCGAAGGATGTGTTTGTTAATTATAAGGAATAGGTTCTTTAACTTGCATCCTGCAATGCCTGCAGCATCCGATTGGTTTGAACATCTTTATAGGGTGTGGCAAAATTGTGTTTAAAATTTATTTCATCACCAATTGTTTCCATTTTTCATATCATTTGAAATTGACCAATGCAAGCAGCGAACACAAATTTTTTCATTATTGCCGTTCATGCATATTACATGCATGTGTATATAGGTTAAGCTCTAAACACAATGATGCTTGCATTGCATTGCTAAAGTAAAAATCATATAAAAAAAAATATATTTGCTTGATGCACGATGCAAATGGATTCATTTTGTTTAGCACTCTATTCAGTGTCCTTGTTCAGGAGACTGTTCTCATCTTGAAATTGTTATTATTATTAATGAATAGAAGAGAAATAAAATCGAACACCAAAGGCTTAAAGCAATAGCATCTAAGGCCATCGGCTTTATTTAAAACACTATCACACTTGAGATTTGAAGCCACAACCATTGAGTTAAGAATTGTGTCAAGATTCTTTGCCTAGTCGACCGTGCGGTCGGGTCCATATTGAGATTATAGATAATGGATCTAATAAATGTTTAAACAAAATTACATTTTGATTCATTTCTTTCGTTTGTTTTTTAAATATTTTCTTTTCTGTTGTAGCTATCACCCCCAAGGTCATTAGTAGATGCGGCTCGTTTCAGTCTGAAGTAGTTGTAAGAAACATATCTGTCAAATTAAGGTTTTCTAATTAGATTTTATGTAATTTTTCGTTGGCAGACATATAGGCGCATAAGGGAATGTACGTATGCTCCGCGCATTGTATGAGGTATGTTTTGAGAATAGGAAAATAAAATGCAAAATATTGATATTAGGCGTGTAAATGTAAATTTATCCCGTTTTCTTTTTTTTTTACTTATTTATTTATTATTGTTATTATATTTTTTTTTTTTTTGTAAATTTCAACATTTATTCTAACAAGACAAGTAAAAACACTATTGTGGGGCAGGGCCGCCAACATTTAAAAAACCCCACACCTACCAGCCTACGGTTATCAATATATCGACTTTACAAAATAGGACTTTATATGCGAAGTGGTCGAAAAAGTGGTCCGATCTGTGCCATTTTCAATAGCCTTCGTTCTTGAGTCAGTGTACTAAACGTTATCAAATTCTGTGAGATGGATAGACAAGCTTAAATCGATTTAAAAAATGATTTTGAACCAATCGGTATAATAGAGAATGGGTCCATCTCAAATCTTTTTTGATGTTGTATACATCCGCACAAACTTAATGTGCCGCAAGTTTTGCGGGGTAGATACGAACAAGGTGCGTTATTTAACGGATCGACTTTGCTAGTAACTACTTGTTTCACATTCTATATATAAGAGATGAATTTCTTATTTAAAAAGTTGCTAGTCTTTTGATTTTATTCGCAAAAGGACCAAAATTCACTTTAATATTTATCACAATAATAAAAATGGACGTCCTACTCGAATAGAAATTAATATTGATTAGAAGGCGAAATGGCTGCGATGAATATAAATAAACAGGTGAGGTTAACACCATCTGCCAGTTCAGTGGTTCAGTGCTTGCTCTGAGCAAGTTTTAGGGCATGGCATTCATCGTTCGATTCAATCGTATCATCAGTTGTTGTTATTATTGTTTCTACCGTTGGCTCGATTAGCTAAAGCAGCTATTTATAATGCATATATAATGCCAAAATGATTATCGCTCAGCTCCATTGACACTTGTCGATCTCATAATTATCGAAAAACTCTCAAGATAATTGATAATATTTGCTTAAAATAATAAACATTTACAATTTGCTTAAAGGCAAATGTAGTTTTTTTTTTTTTTTTGATGCGTTTTTCATTTTCATAATATTTACAAATGTATTGATTTATTTTTGTAGTTTTTCAAAACGATTTCGGATTTTCGTCTTTTTGTGTTTTTTTTTGCGTTAGGAAAAACGATTTGTAAAATTGATGAACTGATAAAAGAATTTTTCGAATTTAATTATTTATATGCCATAGTGACAGTTATGACAAATATCTTTCACGAACAGAATAAGAATAATAAAAAAGACATTGAAAGACTTATCACCTACCTGACAATTATTAAACGGTAAAGCTCTTAGCGTACACATGCTTGATCATAAACATCTTGTAAATATTTTGTACTTTACATTGCCCGACAAGTTCTATATATATATATATATATATATATATGCATACATATGTATGGTCGTCGCACTAAATATCTAAGCAATAGAGAGATGCTTTTAACATAAAAGTTGATAGCGATGACAAATAGTTGAGACATTCTACAGCAAATCATTAACCAAGATAGCCATGTTAGCAATGTGCATATATGCACACAACTATATTGTATGTGGGCACGATAAACGAAAGATCAAAAAATATTCCACCTGTTAATTTATTTTTTGTTTTCAAAAAAGTGTCTTCTATCTGTCTTCCTACGCCCCCTCGTTCCTTCTTTCCATCTTTCACTTAAGCCAATCAGCGAGTAAACGCATAATTGTGTTGCTTGAATGCAATGTTAATGCAGTTTAGCATAAAGGCCCCACACGGCGTATAATCGATTTACGAGCATAAGATAATTTTTGCATATAATAATACACGGCAAACAACCGTAGAGTAATTGAAGGTAAAACATCTGCTTGAAATCATTTTTATATGTGTACACGCGTGTGTATGTGTTTGATGATTTGCGAAATTTCCCCAAATTATTTATTATTATAATAAGCGCTGATATGTTAAATTTCTTAAATAATTAAACAAAAGCAAAGTAAATGAAAAGATAAAACAGAGAGAAAAGGCTTACGTTGTCCCAATTTATGCGGGTTTTGTACAAATGATCTTTAATGCTATTATATATACCCACACTTAACTATTTGGTATATTAGAAGAAAATGTTAGAGAATTTGAAATTCTTCTCCATTTTTTTCTTTTTTTATTTTGTTTTTCTATATTACAAATTTATTTATAACATTTTCATTTATATATATATATATATATATATATATTTGTTAGTATAATTAATTAGTTTAATAAATTTTATCAACATTTTCATTATTTTTGCATTATTTTCTCTTTGTCGTTGCTAGTAAAAATAATACAAAAAAAACAATAATGACGATGATCACGATAATGATATTAATGATGATGATGATAATGATGATAATGATGATGATGATGATTATGATGTTGATGATGATGTTGATGATGATGATAATTGCGATGATGACGACGATGATTCATAGAAATAGGCGGTCGTTTTAATTTAGTTCAGTTCAATTCAGTTCACACACAAAATCTATTTTTATTTTTATACTTTTTTTTTTTTTTTATTTTTATTTATTGTGCGTGTACTCATCTCTGTAAGAGTGAGAATATGCTTTGCCTCTTGAGAATATATAAACAAAGTATTTTTTTTTTTTAATTTTTAGCTTTTTAATTTGCATTATGTTCTCAACGGTCGCCTTAGCTTTTGACTGTTAAATGAAATTAAACATTTGGGTAATTTTTATCGTTATTTATATCGTTTCTTCTTGTGGCATTATTATTTAAAGTCACCGATCAAATCAGTCCGAAGATGGCTAAGCATCCAACAAATTTCCATCAAAGTTGTCAGCAAATAACTTATTCTTTTCATCGTTTTCCCTTAGTGTCGTCGAAAAGGTTTTCAAGTTCTGTAACCGCTACTTACACTGACTGGTTTCTTTAGTCGCCTTTTTTTGCAGCCCATAGCTTACGAGTTGCCCCGACTTTTCAGCGCTTTCAATACTTAGTCGTTTGACTTGTTATGTCGTAGTAATATTCTCTAGTGATGTCCACACCTACATCACCAGTGATATCAGGCATATTAACTTTGTGCCGATGTGTACAACAACTGAAAGGACTTGATATAGACGTGCTTTTCATTATGCCTAAGCTTGTCTATCCCTGTGTGAGTTGAATGATGTTGATTTAGTATACCTAACCTTATCTATCTATCTATGATGTTTATTATGCCTAAGCTTCTATGCCCATCTGTCTGTCTCATATTTGTCCAATTATTTTTATGTTCCATCTATAGATCGCAATTTTCGTGATATTTTGATGACATTTGGAAGACAGTCGAGTTTT